GCGGACGGAGACGATGCTTACGGATTGGACGCGTGCCAGAATTGTCAAGGTAGTCCTATCAGAACAACAACATAGGATACTAGACTTCGACCGCGTGACCACTGTGCGAGCATGCGCGACCGCTGTCGCCAAACGAGCCACGGTCGTCAAGGAGGACGACCTCCTCGAAGGCCGATATACAGGCGAGTCCAACCAGGGTATCCACGGCCCTATGCATTGAACTTAACACATGGTTCGACGGCATATGTTTTATTAAATGATTCAAGATGTATCACATGCGTCAAACATCATGACTTCGAGATACATATTTAAGCGGAAGTTCGCTTAGAAAGAAAAGGGCGAGACGTGACGGACCATTCAACTACGCCTGGCACCGGTTTTTTTTGCTTATGGACCTCGAAGCTTTCGATGTGGAAGCGTTCTCAGGTGCGGCGCGGCGATCAAGTCAGAGGCTACCCGCAAGCGCGGCAAAGTGCATGAAGTAATGGATCATTTTCTCCCTTGACATCAACATGGCTTTCCTGAAGGGGCTGACATATCATGAACTTGCTGAGGCAACCGATGAGAAAGAACGCGTGCTGTGTTTTACACTGCCACCCGGATCAGCGTCGATCCCTCCCAGGATTCGAGTACTACGATGAGTCGAAGCACTGCCTGCAGTGCCTTAAGCCAGGCACCAGCACCAAGGATGCACCCAGAGCCTTCTCATTGAATCTCAGCAAGACCATGTCTCATACCCACGTCCAACGACGAGGAGTTCGAGACAAGCAACAAGCTCATCACAGCCAAGCACGTTGATGATATTAATCTGGCCGGCACTGAGGACGCCATCGACAGGTGCGTCAAGTGCGTTGAGGATACTTTGGGCAAATGTAAAATCTACAAGCATACATATACCAATTGCTCTGTGAGATACACTGAGGATGGCGGCGGTAACGTTGCACTTGGTCAAGACAAAACAAACCAGTTCATTTCTTTACGACGTCCTGAACTCATTGGCGCAGACGCTGGCTTAAAGGCTTTCAATATGGTCACTGACGTGTTTGTTTGCCTCAGAGGCGCCCTGGCATACGCTATCATCACACAGGCGCGTTTGATGGCACATGTTGTTTCCCCACAGCGCGTCCAAGAAACGACCGACATACAGGTGCGACGACTGAGCGCGATTACCAGGAAGTTGCAGGCCTGCCCCACGAAGACCACCTATCGGCCGATGACTCCAACGGGCGAGGTCGACCTGCACAGCGACTGCGGCTATCGACGCCTGAGTAGAGATGCTGATGGCGAGGTCAAAGGCTATGATATTCGCGGGGCAAACCTGCTATGTCGTAGGAAAACGCTCTCTGGTGCGCCTGTCGTCCATCTCATCGATGCGCACTGCAAGTCTCGCCGCTCGCAGGTCCGCTCGAGCTACTCGGCGGAAAGACTCGCAGCAGCCCGCGACCTGGAGGACTGCCACCCCGCGATCGTCACTCTGCACGAATTGCACGCAGGGCCGCCGACGCTCATTCAGTTGAAGGATATTGGAGATGGGCGGCCTTAGCATTAAGGGGTCTTTGACAATCGATGCGGAATCTGTCCTCAAGTCCACGTCAAGCAAAGACGCAAAGAAACCGACCGAGTGCGTTCTTTTGGGGCGCATCAGTTGGACGCAAGAAATGATGGAGCGAGGTATCGTGCATTGCGTGCAGTGGCGTGAATTCGCGACGTGACTGCGGACGGCCAAACGAAATGGAGCATCGAGAGAGATATGCTCCTACAGGTCACGGGAGGAACGCAATCTTTCAAGTGCGACTTGAAACGCCGTACTCCGTGCCGGGCTGGCCAGGCAACATCGCCAGAGGCCGCCAGAGCAATGTTCGCCTGCAGGGCGATCTGCTCGCAGGGTAAGTTGCGTGCAAGGGCGCTTGCGCGCGGGTCAACATTTTTTGAACCCGCCTGTTGCTGCCTGTTTTGTTTAGTGCTACTGCGTAGCGGGCGGCGGACTCGCGTTTCGTCTCTCTCTCTCTCTCTCTCTCTCTCTCTCTCTCTCTTTTTTGTGTTTTCTCTCTCTCTCTCTCTCTCTCTCTCTCTCTCTCTCTCTCTCTCTCTCTCTCTCTCTCTCTCTCTCTCTCTCTCTCTCTCTCTCTCTCTCTCTCTGTCTCTCTCTCTCTCTCTCTCTCTCTCTCTCTCTTCTCTCTCTCTCTCTCTCTCTCTCTCTCTCTCTCTCTCTCTCTCTCTCTCTCTCTCTCTCTCTCTCTCTCTCTCTCTCTCTCTCTCTCTCTCTCTCTCTCTCTCTCTCTCTCTCTCTCTCTCTCTCTCTCTCTCTCTCTCTCTCTCTCTCTCCTCTCTCTCTCTCTCTCTCTCTCTCTCTCTCTCTCTCTCTCTCTCTCTCTCTCTCTCTCTCTCTCTCTCTCTCTCTCTCTCTCTCTCTCTCTCTCTCTCTCTCTCTCTCTCTCTCTCTCTCTCTCTCTCTCTCTCTCTCTCTCTTCCCCCCCCCCCCCCCCCCCCCCCCCCCCGACTCTACAGTCTGGAGGGGGCCGGGGCAAGAGCGAGAGATGTTGAGCGTTGTCCGCGGCCGTTTGCACTCGAGCGGCCAGCCGCCAAGAGATGTCTGCGCTTCATCGCGAGGCGCGCCACTTGCCATCGAGACCGAAACATATTCGCGTGAGATGGCCCGTCGATATTGCGACGGTATCATACTTGTGGGACTATCGTTACTACGGTGCAGCAGAGTTGGATATGGGCTTCGCCGTAGGCGAAGCTGCTGGTTGGGCCCTTCAACCCTTCTCGAATTTTTTGAGCTATCATGGAGGTCACCCTGGCCTCTGCGAGGCCCTCCTGGAGCCATCTTGGGCCATCTCGGGCACTTTGGCAACGCGCCCCCCGCTCCCAGGCCCAGGGGGGGGGGTATGGGGGGGGTCAAGTTAGCCAGCTCGAACGACCCAAAGGGCTCCGTCCACTCCCGCCCGCCCCCCCATTACATAAGAAGCAATTGCGTCGCGCCCGACGCCTGTCGCTAATGTTATATCGCGGGCGGCTAGACGTTCAGCGCGCGACGCGAGCTGCGTCCTACTCCTGCCGCGCATTGCAACGTCGACGAGAAACAGAACCGCGCGCGATGCACGCCTCGCCCCGTTCCGGCCTGTCACGTTGCATCGTCGGCGACAGTATGTCCAGCGCGCGATGTGCGCCGCGTCTCATTCCAGCCACGCGCGTCGCACCGCCAATCGTTTCGCCCCTGCCGCGCATGGAGGAGGGGGAGGAGGAGGAGGGGAGGGAGAGAGGGAGGGAGGGAGAAATTGAGGAGGAAGAGGATAATGCCTCTCAGAGATTCGCGGGGCGTCCTGGAAGCTTTCTGGCATGCGCCTGAGGGCTCTTAGATATATCTTCCGGGTTGGAACAATGTCAACACAAGGATGTATGAACCTCACAATCTTTCAAACACCAAATGACAATTTATACTTGTGTTGCCCCCGCAGGGCCGCCTGGTCGCCTTTTTTTGCGACCTCCTGGGGGTCTCCTGAGGCACTCGCTTGGGCCGCCCTTGCTTGAGGCATTATGATACGCCGCCCGCCCAGCTCCTCAACCTGACGGGCCGCAGCGTCGACGACAAGAAAGTCCATGTTGACGAGCAGGCGTCCCCGCGCGATGTTCGCCGCGTCTTGTTCCTGCTACGCGATTCGCAGCGCCGACGAGGAGAACATACACGTTGGCAACACAACGTCGACGTTGCGATGTTTTCTGACGGGTAGGACGGGGGATCCCGCGTAGGGGTGGCTAGGCGTCTGCGCGTGATGTGTGCGGCGTCCCGCTCTTCCTACACTTGTCGCAGCGTCGACGACGGGAAAGGCCACGTTGACAAACAAACGTTGACATTGTATTGTTGTTGGTACGTAGCATGCGACCACCCGCTTAAAGCCTCCCAAGCAATGTTCATTCCGTTGCATTCTTGCTACACGTTTCGCAACTCGACGACATGCTGGCGAACAAAAACATGAGTTTTCATTTTTTGTCAGTTAGGACGGCGGGGTTGCCATCGGCCGGCTACGTGGGGATGTGGGGATCTGTAATCATAAGAAGCATCGGGCAACCCCTCCCCAAAGCAGGTGAAGTAGGGGTTTTGGCAGAGAGAAAACCAAGTTCGTTAAACCACATGCGCCCAGAGGGCTGGTGTGATTCATGGATGATTATCACTGCGGCGAGCGCCCTTCTGCATGGTGGGAGCAGGGTGCTATTTGAAATGTGCGTATTGGACGACATGCTGCATTTGCTCTGTGTACATTCGGGGTCGTGTCCATAACAACTTCCATGACTTTCAAACGCGGCCAAGGTGCCAAGTGCCCCATCCTTCCTCATCCGCAAGATCAGCAGGAGGATTCCACCCATATCCATTATCAACGGGGCCACTTACACTGTTTGTGATAGTCGGCACCCCTTGATCCTGGATTGCGCCCCGCCCGCGTGACCCCCCTTGCCCTCCCAATGTTCGTCCACTTCGCTTCGGTTCGTGTGGGCCGCGGCGAGCGGGGCGGAGCAGGAGAATGAGTGAGAGGCCAACTCAGAAAGCTCGTGTTGGTCCTGCTCCAGACCCACGACGCAGTCAGCAGTCATGTTCTCACGTCGTGGACCTACCAGATGTCCCAACCCTTCCGCGGAGCTGTTTTTTGCTAGTGCCCCTGGGCCCGTTACGACAGGCCCCCAAACGCCGAACATTGCGGAAGACCTCCCGTCTTGATCTCACGACGCGAGGGTCGGCGGCATGCCCAGGGGGAAGTGGGAGGGGGGCAGGCCTCAGAACGCGGCGGGGCCTTTTAGAAGCCCTCCGGCGTTCTGAGAATCCGTCTCTGCGGTCGGGGAAGCCCCAAAAGATTACCCAGAAGGCGCGAGGGTTTCCGAGAAGACCCGCCGCCTGCGGAAAAGGCCTGCCCCCCTCTCATTTCCCCCCCCCAGGCGCGCCGCCGACTCGCGGCGCGAGAAGGCCTTGCGTTCCTCTCCCCCGCCCTCCGGGCGCCGGGCAGGCCGACGCCGAGCTGCTCTCGGGCGACGAGCGCGCCCGCGCGCTGCGCGAGGCGCGCGAGGCCGCGCTGCAGGCCCTGTACCGGGCGGAGCGCGCCGCGGAGCTGCTGCGGAGGCGCGCCGCCGCGCAGATGCGCATCTTGGCACGCGCGGCCGCAGTCACGAACGGCGAAACTATCCGTCCCCGCACCCTCGCGGTCTGGATTCTGGGGCGCGATCCCGCGTGCCAGCCACATGCGGCTGACATACCCTGCGCGTGCATCCCTGCAGCGGTTCCCTCTAGATGGGCCGGCGCTTTCTTCAAGGGAATTCTCGCGCCGCTGTTTCGGCAGTTGCCGTCTCTGCCCGGTGGCCGCATCTGGGGACACGCCTCCCCCCGCGACGGATGCGACGGTGCTTTTGGACCCCCCTTGGCGTGTCGGCGGCGAAACCCAAACCCTACCACCGCCGATCAACAATTCAGGCAACTCGATGGGCGGCGGGAGTAGGCGTCGGAATTCGTCGAACACGCGGCGAAATCCCAGCCCTGCCCCCGCCTCCCATCGATTCAGGAGAATCGATGGTTGGTGGGGATAAGGTGGCGCCACCCATCGGATAACTTCACGGTCGCACGGATACTTTCCGCGCGCGGCATCCGCGAAACAACGCCCCGTATCCTTGGGGTCGTAGCCCAGGGGCCCAGCCCGCGAGGCCGCGGATACGGGTATGTGTTTGTTTTGTTGTTTGCCCCGCGACGCAGGGCTCCGTTCGGTCTTGCTCGGTGCGCGTCGTGCTGTGCTCCTCGCTCCTCGCGCGGGTGGGGTCCAGATGGTGCCTCCCAGTGTAGGGCACCACTTCCCCCACCGTCCGAGGGCGCGATGGCGGTCGCAGGCGCTTTCGCACAGCCGACCGTGGCCGCCGTGTGTCTTCTTTTTCCTTGTCCGCTCCCGTGTTCCTTGTGAGAAGCCCGTGGAGGGACCACCGTTCCGACTTCCACTACTTGTGTTTCCTAAGCAGTCCTTTTCGTTTATTGGGCAGTATTGTCCTGTTCGAGTGTTGCCCTGGACGCGCTTACCCGAAGCTTCGCTTGTCGGGCTGCGTTGTGGGTGTGTGTGTGTGTGTTTGTGCGTGTGGAAATTGTTATTCCGTTCTCAAGTTATGTGGCCGTTTTTTTTACCCTAGCTTGGTTGTGGGTTGCAGACCACAAACAATGAAATCAGCATGATCTGTGTGTTACAGGGAATTTCTATAGAGTGGTCGCCGATCTGCCACTCTCGAAACATATCCATGCATGGATGCGTGAGAAGTCCGAGAGTGCCAAGTATACATTCCCACGGATTACCGCAACTCTCCTTCTTTGCTCCTTGTCTTCGCGGGCTATTATATAGTTTGTTCTCAAGTGTCGCAGTGTAGTTCCGCCCTTTGCGTTGGCCATCCATCTTGTGCCCAGAGGTCCTTCGCATCCGCTTCTCGTGGGCAAGGAGAGGAGGCGTCGTTGAGCTTTGTGGGCGCTTGAGGGACATTATTATGAGGAGGGTGGCCTTTGTCAAGCCGCATATTTTCCTGCCGAGGACCACGTGGGGAGAGGAGAAGGTCGCATTCCTCAAGTTGCTTCCGAACATGCAGGAGCCGCATCCTTGCATAGACTCTTCATTGACATCTGGTACCCTGAGAAACGTGCCGCCAGTTAGATTGATGATGATGTTTCAGCTCAAGGGAGATGCACTTGTATGACACTGTCTGGGCATCTGGCCCGATTGGCGATGTATTAGGTAGCACCCAGTGGCTTCTGTCCCACCCCGCCACCGTGCCTGGTTCGATAGCAAGGAGCCCATGGGCGTCTCTTGGGGAGCTTCCTGGGGATCTCTTGGAGGCCTGTGTGGGCCCTCTTCGGGGCATTTTGGGAGCTCGTGTGGGCTTCTTGGGGGCCTGATGGGGGTTGGAGTTTGTGTGGGCGTGCTCGGCGTCCCAGAAGACCACGAGAGAAGCGTTGCCCCCCGCAGAAATTCCGGCAAATGTGTGGTCTGGGTTTTGTAGACCAAAACAGACACATAATGTAATAGTCAAGTCTGCATGAGCCTTGGAGCAATCCACTAATTTCATGCTGAATGCACGCTGGCGGATCCGTGTGTGCATCGGTGGCTTGACAGCAGCGAGTTCAATGGCTACGCAGTGCCATCTTGGAGTTGTAGTTGGCTCGTGGCTCATTCCGCAATTTGGAGTCACCTGACTGGTGCGGTTGGCAATTCTGCCATGCGTGTTCATCATTGGGCGTACTGGGCAATGATGCGACGGCTGGATGTTCGAACGCAGTTTGCTTCTTCCCCTTCCTCATCTCGCCCTTCTGGCCTCGGGGACTGAGGACCCTGAGCCACGCGGGAACGAATGCGCCCACGTTCAGAGAGTCGGAAGGCGTAGGTGGGACAGCCCTCCGTCCTCCGTCGTGGGACTTCTCCAGAGAGCCTACGTCGGGCTGAAGCAGATGCGGGGCGGAGGTTCGCGCCGCATCGCCGATGCATCGGCGATGCGGCACGATCCTCCGACCCTGCTCAGTCCGGCCCTGCACGGGCGGCCTCCAGGAAGGCGCAGGAGAGGCGGCCCCTCGCCTCGGATCGCGCGCTGCGGCGCTCCCCGCCCAAGGAGCCGCCCCCGCCGGGGTACCGCGCCGCGGCTGCGCGCGCGCTGGAGCCCGCCGCCGCGGCGCACTGTGCGGCGCGCCCCGCCCCGCCGCACTGGCCGCAGAGGCCAGGAGGGTCAGGATGTCGAAAGGGTTCTCGGTCGTCTGCTGGCGCGCCCGACTGCTGCGGTCCTCGCCGTCGTAGCAACAGTGCGACAGCCTCGCGGAGAGCTGGGCGGCTTTCTGGCGTCGTCCTGTGCTCTTCGGCGTGCTGAAGGGCCGCCGTGTGTCTTGCCGAAGTGCCTCCTGCTGTCGCCAAATAGCAGCCAGTGTACGTATCTATTTTGTTTTGGGTCGGGAGCGCCCCCCTACCCCAACATCTTCTTGGAGAAAGGGTTAGACTCGCGCTTTTCTGACAGCCAGTTGGTCTCGTCGTGTGCGGCATGATTCGGCGGCTGAGGAGATGGTCAGAAGTGTGTGGTGTGTGTGTGTGTGTGTCGTGGTAAGTTTGACGCATTCGAGCGGTTCCAAGTGTCGGGGAGTGTTACGAATATTGAGGCACGGAGGTGCACTTCGAACATTGTCTTGTCGGTCTTGCTGATAGCGCAGCGTGCGTCAAGGAATGTAGTAGTAGGTGTGCACAGGCAGAACAGTTGGGCAAAAGTTACAAGGCTTCGATCGTCTGACGTCTTAGTTTCGGAGAGGGCCAAGCTGCACGGTTGTCAGAGCGCTCACTATCGGAGCGCTTCTTTTTTCGTCGCCTAGCTGCACGTACCACTCCAGACTCGTTTTAGATTCGGAAGGAGATTCAACCAGAGCCGCGCATTCGAGATTATATAACACACTCGATACATGCGTCCCGTACGAATCACAGCGTCGGCGCGATTCTAGCGCGATGTTGGGCATCGCGGCTGTGACATGAAAGGGTTATGCTATCCCAGGCTCAGATCTTTAGACGTAGGCAGTCGCAACGTCGGGACGTGTCTTTGAAGGGTCAAGCATCGAGGGACTACGAGCTTGTGGATGTCATAGCAGGCGCGACTCTTCTGATCGTGCTTTTTTACGTGCCGAGATAACATGCTCAATCAATGTGATGGCGCTGTATTGGAATTTCTCGTATTCCTTTCTCGCCCCCCATCTCTTGCTCTCTTCGGGCGCGAACTGTTGTATGTCGGCGCCGCAGGGTAATCATGATCTGTTACGTGTGCTAGATCTCTTACGCTGCCGTTTCATAGGCATAGGCGGATTCAATTTCGGACCCAGAGACTGGCCATTCGCGAGGGAGGACAGAGGGATGCGGACACCGATATTAGTTTTCGAGGTTGGGGAAGGGCTGACCTGTTTCATGTTCAAGCTCTGTGTCCCGCAGACATTGTTACAGGCAAGAGAATCTGCCCGTACGTTGAGATTCACATTTGAATGTCGACTGCTCCAGTCAGGCCCGTTATTGCCCTAGCAATTTCACGGTGAACAGCTCAGTAATTTCTCCCGAACCGACCCCCCCTCACCCTCCCACCTTCTCCTCCCCCTCTCCTCCCTCCTCACGGCCCTGGGGATGTCTTCTGACCATTTCCTGCTGTCCGTCGTGGTGCCTCGTGGGGCTCGTCGGCTCGCTGGCCGTCCGCCCCACCGTCGCTCTCCTCTCGGAGTTTCTCAGGTCCTCCAGCCTTGCCCTGCAGGTGTACGTGGTGGCCTCGGGCTTCTGGCCCTGCCCAGCCTCGCCAATCGGTCAGGGGTAGGTTCGGCGTTGGCTCTCCAGGGGCGGCGCGCTCACGCGCGGAGTTGTCGGTGGCTGGCGCTTGCTGGTCAGACCGCGTGGGTAGCGAGATGCTACGCGATGCTTGTACTACATGTTCGGCTCGGACGTGCGCCTCCAAGAGGGGCGCACAGTACCAGTACGCCCCTCTGCGTCCCATGGTTGGGCTGCGCTCGCTGATGTTGCCTCCCTCCCCCGAAGCAGGCGCTCCGCGCCGCGGGCCGCGCGCTGGCAGGGCCCCCGCCGGGCGGCGCGCTGGAGCTCGAGGCCACGCTGCGGTACCTGCAGCCGCGCTGGTTGGTGCACTTTGTGCGGGGCGCGTACGCGGTGGAGCTGTGGAGGGAAGGCGGGGCCAGAAAGGGAGGTCCAGGGAAGGAGACGCGACATCACCACCACCAGCAGGGGCAACGATAGGGGTGGATAGACTCAGGGGTGCGCATCGATCCCCACTCGCCCATTCATCGCTGACGGGGGCGCGATACGCAGCCCAACCCCGCCCAGGAGCGGGGGCATTCGCTGTCGGGGTCCTCTCGCCGATCTATCGGCGATCTATCGCCGACTCCAGGTCGATGTTTCCCCCCATGAGCTGGTCCCCCTCTTTCGTTGCCCCCCACACCCGGGAGCCCACCTCCAGCGAGGAGGTCCACGATGCCTCCGCGAACTGGGGATCGGTGATGTCTCGAGCGAGAGGGGGGGGGGGCCACACCACCAGGGGGATCCCTCCCAGGCTCCTCCCGCTGGTGGTCCCTGGTGGTGGTGGTGATTGTTCTTGAGAAGGAGGCACTTCGTGCGGGGCGCGTAGGCGGTGAAGCTGTGGAGGAAAGTTGCGGCCAGGAGGAGGGAGAGGATTGATAGATCACGTCGCTACGCTGGAGGTTAGGACTGGAGGGAGCAGGGAAGGAATGGGCGAGCCAACTCAGAAGTAGACGGCCAATCAACCCCAGAGGAGTGAACAATAGTCCACCCCGCCAGGCACGAATACCGTAATCCCCCCCGCTTCCAAACAGTCGAAACTTGACAAGTCGTCGTAAGAACTCAGACAGCGGCACCCCAGCTTGGGCGGAGGAGGACTAGGAGGGGGTCTGAGGAGATGTTTGGCCAAGTTGGGGCTCTGAGGGGCCTGAGTCGGGCCCTGGGGCCGTCAGAATTCTGCCCGGGATGAAGCGTTGGCTGGAATGAACCCCCAGCGGGGTCCAGGACAAATGGTCAGAGGATGACACGACACCGAAGCCAGCACTTGTTTTTTGTTTCCGCCCTTTGGGCCTCCTGTGGGCCCTCATGCCGTCGCCACGGCTGGATTCGCCGAAATCCTGGTCAGATCGCACCCCCGGGGAGTTCCAGGGAGTTTAGCTACCGGTACCTTCATGCTCCAGGGGGAGGGCGTTGGGGAACAGCGGCAGGGCATTGGGGAAGGAAGGCGATGATGATCAGCCGTATCACGGGCACGAGCATCGGCGGCCGTAAAGCGTGGAGGTGGGAGGGTGACGGGAAGGGGAGTGGCAGGGGGGAGGAGGAACAGGGGGGACTACGGGGACTACGGGGACACGATGAATTTGAGGGGATTGGAGGATCAAAGTAGCGCGGGAGGCAGACAGAAAGAAGGAGGAGGAGGAGGAGGAGGAGGAGGAGGAGGTGTTGGCAGAGGACGGGGAGGGCAGGCAGTTGCGAAGGACGCGAGCTTGTCTTCCTCCGGCCAGGCGGCAAGGCGGAGCTAGGAGAGCCCGACCAGTGGCCCGCTGGCAAGTTCCTTGCCTACGTGGGCCACCACCCACAGCACGGCCCTGGTGTCCGCTTCCCGCCTGAGTTGTCGGGTGCCGTGGAGGGTCGACGCCGCTTGGCGGTGCGCCGCTTCCTCCTCTTCATCCGCGCCCTGCTCCCTCGTCGCTCGTCGTCGTTTCTGTATTCGTTTTCGTCGGTGCCGCTGTTCTTCCTGCCCTGGACGATTACCGAGACTGAGCGACATCATCACTTGCAGCTCATCGGGTGGCGGCAGGGAGGCGGAACAAATCTCTTTGTCGCGTCCGCATGTTCTTGCACATGGCCATCTTCATCCCGCTTCCCGTTGCACCGCCAGACGGGTCGGCAGTATGGACGGCGGTTCGTCAGAGACGCATTTACACATTATGATGTTGCAGGCTTGAAATTTCAGCGGTTGCCGTTGTCAAAACGTCTCTCTCGCCTTCGCCCCCGTAGAATTGCTACGCTATAGGAGGGTAGATGGTTGTGGCTGTCAACCTGTGGCTATCCTTCGAGCGCCACTCATAGGTGGAGCGCGGGCGGCTATCATCATTTACGTTTGTCTTCAAGTGTTCCAGCATCTGCACGGATGGAGCGCAGTTGGTTTGCCGCATGTGTGTCTCGTTTGGGTGCGCACATCATTACCGAACACTCTCAACGGTTACGCCCATTTCAACGCAAGTTATACGCGCGGAGGGCGAGTGGTTTTCAGAACATGTCCGCGCACATCATCTTCACCAGCTCCACATATAGACGGATGCACGACGCGCGGTTTTCTACATGTGGTTGTCGTTTCGGTCCCGCGCATTTTTTTTCCCAACCCTCTTGCGTTGGATTCTCGTTTTGAATAGAGCAGTGCTCGCGCGAACCTTCCCGCCCCCTCCCGTCCCTCTCTTCCCCCTGCCTTTGACCTCGCCATCCCTGGGGGGCTGCGATCTGTGAAACTGTCGCCACTTTCGAGGGCTGCTGGGAGGCCCAGCACAGAGGGTACACACGGCGGACTCAAATTTGACCTCGCCATCCTTGGGGGGTTGCGTTGTGTGAAAATGTCGCCACTTTCGCGGCCTGCTGGGGGGGGGGCCAGCACAGTGGGTACACACGGCGGACTCAAATTGTACCTCGCCATCCCTGGGGGGCTGCGATCTGCGACATTGTCGCCACTTTCGAGGCCTGTTGGGGGCCCCAGCACAGTGGATACACACGGCGGATTCAAACTGTACCTCGCCATCCCTGGGGGGGTTGCGATCTGCGAAACTTGTCGCCAGTTTCGATGGCTGCTGGGGGGCCCAACACAGTGGGTACACACGGCTGGCTCAAATTTGACCTCGCCATCCCTGGGGGGCTGCGGTCTGTGAAACGCTCGCCACTTTCGAGGCCTGCTGGGGGGCCCAGCACAGTGGGCACACACGGCGGACTCAAATGGGACCTCGCCATCCCTGGGGGGCTGCGATCTGCGAAACTGTCGCAATTTTCGAGGGTTGCTGGGGGGGGCATCACAGTGGGTACACACGGCGGACTCAAATTGTACCTCGCCATCCCTGGGGGGCTGCGATCTGTGAAGCGGCCGCCATTTTCGAGGCCTGCTGGGGGGCCCAGCACAGTGGGTACACACGGCGGGCTCAAATCGGACCTCGCCATCCCTGGGGGGCTGCGATCTGCGAAACCGTCGCCACTTGGGAGGGCTGCTGGGGGGGGGCCCAGCACAGCGGGCACCCACGGCGGATTCAAACTGGATATCGCCATCCCTGGGGGGCTGCGATCTGTGAAATTGTCGCCACGTTCTAGGTCTGCTGGGGGGGGCCAGCACAGTGGGTACCCACGGCGGGCTCAAATTGGACCTCGCCATCCCTGGGGGGCTGCGATCTGCGAAATTGTCGCCACTTTCGAGGCCTGCTGGGGGGCCCAGCACAGTGGGTACACGCGGCGGATTCAAATTTGACCTCGCCATACCTGGGGGGCTGCGATCTGTGAAGCTGTCGCCACGTTCGAGGCCTGTTGGGTGGCCCAGCACACTGGGTACCCACGGCGGACTCAAATGTGACCTCGCCATCCCTGGGGGGCTGCGATCTGTGAAAACTGTCGCCATTTGCGAGGGCTGCTGGGGGGCACCGCGCAGTGGGTACCCACGGCGGACTCAAATGGGACCTCGCCATCCCTGGGGGGCTGCGACCTTTGAAACTGTCGCCACTGTCGAGGCCTGCTGGGGGGGCCCAGCACAGTGGGTACCAACGGCGGACTCAAATTTGACCTCGCCATCCCTGGGGGGCTGCGATCTGTGAAACTGTCTCCACTTTCGCGGCCTGCTGGGGGGGGCCCAGCACAGTGGATACCCGATCTGTGAAATTGTCGCCACTTTCGAGGCCTGCTGGGGGGCACAGTGGGTACCCACGGCGGACTCAAATCGGACCTCGCCATCCCTGGGGGGTTGCGATCTGTGAAATTGTCGCCACTTTCGAGGCCTGCTGGGGGTCCCAGCACAGTGGGTACCCACGGCGGATTCAAATGGGACCTCGCCATCCCTGGGGGGCTGCGATCTGCGAAACTGTCGCCACTTTCGCGGCCTGCTGGGGGGCCCAGCACAGTGACGCCACACGCAGATTCAAATTCGACCTCGCCATCCCTGGTGGCCTGCGATCTGTGAAACTGTCGCCACTTTCGAGGCCTGCGTGCGGGGCCCAGCGCAGTGACGCCTCCCAAGTAGCTTACACATCAAGTTGATGGTCCATGCAAGTTTCGGCCAACTCCTCGTTTCCATTGATACAAATGGGTTGGGCACGTCACATGGTAATTGAACATCGAATGGCCTTCGGCCCATCCCGCCACCGTGCCAGGGTTGTGGGTCATAGTTATCAGTGATGTTTCTTGGGGTCTCGTCGAAGCGCCTTCGGTGGCGTCTTGGGAACAAGTTGGGGCATATCGGGAGCCTCTTGGAAGCCTCTTGGGTGCCTCTGGGGGGCCCTCTTGGGGCCTCTGGGGGGCCTCTTGGAGCTTCCTTGGGGGCCCCTCGGGACCGTGGGTTCGAAATCTCTGGCCCCCCTATCTGGGGCCCCTTTTGGACTCGTCCGTGGGCCTTCTTATGCCGTTTTGGGCGCCCCTGGGGCCGTATTTGGAGCCCTCTTGGGTCGTCTTGGGGCCGTCTTGGGGGCCTTTAGAGCCGACTTGCGGCGATCTTGTGGGCCTCCTGGGGAATCCTGGGGCGTCGGGAAACCGAACATACGAGAAGGTCACATATTTCCAGCACCGAAGGAGGAACAATACTTATTGCTTCTTGTGGCCCATTTGGAAGGCCTCTTGGAGGCCTCTTGGGGCGCGTTGGAGGCCTTCTGGGTCATCTTGAGGCCGTCGTTTGATTCTTGGGGCGATATGTCGGCGACTCGGGGCCCTCGTCTGCCGTTTCGTAGGCATATTGAGGCCTTAAGTGAGTTGGGGCAAGGGCGAGAGATAGCGAGCGTTTGTCCGCGGCCGCTTCAAGCGGTCGGCTGCCAATCTATGACTGCGCCTCATCGCGAGGCACACTACTTGCCATCGAGAACGAAAACATCTTCGCTTGAGATGGCCCGTCGCTCCCGCGACGACGGAGATGGGCTTCGCCTTAGGCGAAGCTGCTGGTTGGGCCTCCCAACCCTTTCAAACTTGGTAGCGGAGCTGGCCTATGGTGATCAGCTTTCGCTATATTCCTCGCCATCCACGGCAGTATCTGGTGGACTACTGACATGGTGGAACATCAGGGTGCAGTGGGTCTGCGCGGAGGAATGTACATAACTACGGGCAACCGCAAGGACAGTTGCAGTGCTACCTCTGCTTTTGCGGTGGCCTCGTATTCGAGTCTCACATCCGTGCGCTACTGCACTCCTGAAGTCCACCCACCTACTCCAACTGGAAGCTTTTTTTTGAATATACAATGCATGGCAACATGCGATGCGATATTGCGCCGCCCCCACTCCCACGCAGGCTTCCAACGAAACACCACAAACCCCAGCCACTAATTCCCAACCACGACCTACGGGGCCATTGGTATTAGCATTGCTATAGTTGGCCTTCTATGGGTCGCTATCGGATGTGCTGTGGGACACATGCGTGGCGGAGACGACGCAAGAATACCGGGCCCCCGCTGGGATCCGGCCAGTCAAGTACCCTCCCGCGAATTCGTTTGAGAGGCACACGCCTGGATCAACGTGACCACGGGCACTATGACGCCTTCCCAACAGGCTGCAGCACTGCAGCATGGTCTGGGAGGTTTCGCGCGGACCATAGCCATGAGAGCTCCCCCCGCAGTCATCAACTTTGGCGTTGACACTGTTGGTCGTCACACAGACGGCACCGCCTACATTGCGTTTCTTCTTAGCACGCAGTTTGAGAAGTTAGAGGAGGAACGCCAGCTTAACTCGGGAACGGCTCTCATCGACTTTCGCGTCTATGCGGGAGAACGGATCGACCAGGCACGAGCGCGCTTCGAGATAGCCCGCTACGAGGCTGAAACGGCAGGCGTTACATCCCCAACTTCCAACTCCTAACAGTTATTTTGTTAAGAGCCTTAGGAGCGGGGGGCGTCGCGCGCACGACAATTCTTACAGCCACTCAACCACCAAATGCCGAGGAATCAACAACAACGCGATGCTTTACTTGAACGCATGAGGTCATCTGCCCACATTGCTGGGCGAAGCCCCTTCGATATCGGTGGTCTCTTTAGCCGCGGTCACCGCGCCGAAACCTTTCGCGCTGAAGCTAGCGCTGGGCAGCCTGCCACGCGCGTCTAAAATCGCGATCCGCAACCGACGGAAACCGCCACTCTATTAGCCCCAAGTGGTGGTCTGCCTACGGGGTCGCAAGACTCCCGGGCTTGATATCAGGGGCCGTCGGCAACGGCGGCCCCTGCACGAGCCACTATCCCTGTAGGCTCAGCGGGGCAACCCGCCGAGTCTGACTTCGACTCTGGAACCGACGCCGACGCGTCATCAGATGACGAAACGGCTGCCGTTGACTATTCCGACATGCCCACGTATCTCACAGAAGAACAACAGGCTCAATGGTTGTTTCCAGGGCATCAGAAACAGAAACGCAGATGGAGACGGTTTATGAAGAAGCCAATTCGTAAGTTTCGAT